TACAAGCTCAGCATGAATAACTATTTTGTTCTTGATTCAGGAAGTGATGAAGATGAGAGCAACTCTGTGCTACTTGAACTGAAGATTCCACTTGACAGGGAGGAGAGCCCTGTGCATCATTTAGTACTGACAGCAACTGATGGGGGTGAACCAAAACTCACAGGAACTGTTCAGCTGGTCATCAATGTGCTGGATGTTAATGACAATCCTCCTGTATTTAACCAATCTGTTTATAGGGTAAAGTTGCTAGAAAATACAGCTAATGGGTCCTTAGTTATTACTCTGAATGCAACAGACTTAGATGAAGGGATAAATAGAGAAATTATTTATTTTTTTAGTAATAGCCTACCTCTACATGTCACAAAGATATTTAGTATAATTTCTGATACTGGGGAAATTAGAGTAATTGGAAAATTGGATTATGAAGACATTAATTTTTACGATCTTCAAATTATTGCAGAAGATAGAGGGAATTTTCCACGGTCAGGGCACTGTAAAGTTCTTCTTGAAATACTGGATACAAATGACAATATTCCTGAAATATCAGTGAATTCCCTTTCAATACCTGTTGTTGAAAACTCACCATCAGGGAGTGTAGTGGCAATACTCAGTGTTTCAGACAAGGATTCTGGCATCAATGGACAAATCAACTGTTTCCTCTTTCCCCCTGGAGTACCCTTCAAACTCGAGTCCACATTCAAGAACTACTACTCCATGATTGTTGGTGCAGTCCTAGATCGAGAGCAGGTGGCTGAGTACAGGATGGTTGTGACAGTGGAAGATCAGGGCGTTCCACCCCTGTCTTCTAGCATCAGCCTCTTAGTGCCTATCAGTGACATAAATGATAATGTTCCAGCCTTCACACAGCCCTCCTACACAGTCTTTGTGAAGGAGAACAATCCTCCTGGTGCTCACATCTTCACAGTATCTGCCTTGGACCCAGACGTTGCTGAGAATGCCCTGATCACCTATTGGATAGATGAGAAGCTGTGGCCATTGTCAAGCTACATCTCTGTACATTCGGAGAGTGGAAAGCTCTATGCTCTGCAGTCCTTGGACTATGAGGAGTCGAAACTGCTGCAGTTCCAGGTGAGAGCCAAGGATGCTGGAATGCCCTCCTTGTGTGGCAATGCGACCATTCAGATCTTTGTGCTGGATGAGAACGACAATGCACCTGCCGTGACAGGATCATCAGAAGAGAACCTGATTCTTCTAGTGGTCCCCGTGATGCCTGGGCATATTGTAGGCAAGATCCATGCCTTGGATGCAGATTCTGGATACAATGCCTGGCTCAGGTACGAACTGCTTGAAGAAAGCAGCGGTCCATGGTCTGTGGGCCAGTATAACGGTGAGGTGAGTACCAAATATCCTCTGGATGAATCAGAAGGAGGCAAAATCCAGAGGGTTCTGGTTCAGGTGAAGGACCATGGGAAGCCTCAGCTCTCAGCCACAGCCACATTGAGTGTGTCACTGGTGACAAGTGGTCAGACAATCAAAACGGATATTAATCTTCGAAGGTCAGGGGAGAGCTTTGTGCCTCTGGTGGACTCGATCAACGTCTATCTGATCATTGCCATCTGCTCTGTTTCCAGCCTCTTCTTGCTGGCCACTCTCATCTACGTGGCCCTGCGATGCCACTGCAAGGCAAAGGAATCCATGGTTTATGGCCCTGGCATGGCTACCCTGGTCTGTGCCAGTGAAGTGGGCAGCTGGTCCTATTCCAATCGCCACAGCCACATCCTGGCAGGTGTGAGCACAGAGGCTGGTGCCAAGAGTGACCTGATGATTTTCAGTCCCAACATTCCCAGTTTTGCAAATAATAGGGAACATAAGAATGAGGCAGAAAGGCCCCCAAATTCATCTAAAGAGGTAAGTTGTGCTGTTTATAGAATCCTTGACATTCGGACAACATTAGATTAGTGTGGTACCTGGGTAGGATCAGTTAATACAATACTGATTTTTAAATTATATATCAGATTTAATTTGATAGTTCTGTAAGTAAATACATAGCTCTCTTTCTGGTTTATAAGTTTTAGCTAAATGAACAAATTCATTTTCTAATCATTTTCTATTTCTCAGAATTGTTTTTTAATGGGAATAGCTACCGGAATATACACTTTGCAGTTGTATTAATAGTCTGCAATTTTTTCTTCTAAGAGAATAATGATAAATATGGTCTTTATATGTTCTGCTACCATACTCTTCATTTTTTAATTCACATACTAAAGAGGTGATATATTTAAAGTACTTAACTACATTCATTAAAATTTAACAAATCTGTGTTATCCCTTCTTCTATCTTATCATATATCCCTTTCATTTTGAATGGGAACAAGAAACGGAACACTGATACATGCACAAAGTAGGTTTCAAGTCTTGATAATAAGCAAATAGCCCTGACAATATATTATTCTGTTTATATTTTATTTTGTATACAGGTAGAAAATTGGTAATGATTTTTTTCTTGATAGTTTCATCCTTTAATCAGTCCAGAATGGATTTTCAAGCTGATGCCTCTTTTAGGAACAATATTTAAGGCTGATTAACTGCAAATTTATTAAACATCATTTAACAGCTTGATATACAGAAGTATTAATGCATACATTTGTTGGAATTTTTAATCTTTTTTGTTATCTTGAAAACAGAATTATAATATTTTAAGTATTTGGAGAGGACTAATAAATTATTATTATTATTGTTGTTGTTGTTGAGTTAGAAGGGACCTTGGAGGTCTTCTAGTCCAACCCCCTGCTCAGGCAGGAAACCCTGTACCATTTCAGACAAATGGCTGTCCAGTCTCTTCTTAAAAACTTTCAGTGTTGGAGCATTCACAACTTCTGGAGCCAGGTTGTTCCAATGATTAATTGTTCTAATTATATTTGGTGATTATGCTTAATCCCTTGAATAAAAATCATCAAGGGATCACTTTACAATATACTTTAATTTAGGCATTTACTACTTTAAATGGCTTTTTAAATCTTGAACATGCATGACGTTGACTGTTGAATCATAATGCTGTTGCCACTTCTGAATTACCACATTTTTTTTGATGTGTTGAAAAAATCAGTAGAAATTTCTTTGGCAAGATCCCTCCCAACTGCTATATTTTTTTCTATTAATATATGAGCATGTTTTCAATGTAGTATGGCCTTATTCTGCTAAAAGAAAAACTCAATGTAACATCTAGCTCAAATCCAGTTATCCAGGGGAATAGATGAAGTATGAGGGTAGTGGAGAAGGAAAAATATAGCAATGTTCAAAACATTAGGATTTGAGTAACTAATAGTATGAAGATTTTAGCAAACTTTCCCATCTTCTCATGTTAAAGATGTGAGGAACTCTCAGCAACGAGTATGCTGGCAAGGGAGGTTAAAGTCCGTATGCCTAGAATTTTCTGAGGTTGAAAAAGATTACATTGGAATAGCTCATAATCAATCAATGTATAAAAATAAGCATGGACTTTTCAAGAATAAGCTTAGTTTTTAATCAGATTATTTCCTTGGTAGATTGGTAGGAATAGTTAGACTCTCTCAAACAGAGGTGAATACATGGATATGTCAATGGAGTTTTTCTTAGAAGCATTGCAGAAGTGTTTTGCCACTGCCTTCTTCTAAGATCATTTTTCAATATTCCTATCAAGCCTCCAACACTGAGATGACCCGGTGGTTTCCATCCAAGTAATCACCTGATCCAAGCCTGCTTTACTGACCAATATTTGGAAGTAGATAGTAGGATTCCAGGCTTTACATAGCTGAAAATGTTTCCTTTAAAAATTGCTTTAGGAATCAGAAATAAAGAGAAAAAGAGGTACAGAAAAAAAAGGAAAAAAGGAAAAGGAACATGACTCAAAACACACACACACAAGACATGCTTTAAACAAAACACTACACAAGATAATATTGATCAACCAACCTTTCTATTTTATCAATAAAGGACCAGTTCATAAGTAGTCTATGAGCACAAATCAGTCCAAGATTATATGTGCCGACTCAGATATGATAGCTTTATAGAAAAATAAAGTATATACCACAAGGACTTATGTCTTGGAGCAGTTTACAATTATCTTCAATATACATAATAAAATCACAATAAGAATGTACTGGATATCCCACCATGGGCTACTGTTTAATATGATGCTTATCCAGGTTTATGCTCTAACCGATGCAAGTTTGAGGAGTTTTATGGTCACGTTCAATCTGAAAACAATAAAACTTGCAAGCAAAGTAGCTGCTTATGCTTTGAGATTGGAACTCCACAGTCAGAAATTGTAAGAAGAAAAACATGGTTGGACTCAGTGGCCTAGTAAATAGAAATGAAGCAGAAGAACACCTTATAATTGTCTATCAACTCTTCATTGCTAATACTTTCGGCAATCAAAACAATGTATATATACATAGACATCACCAAATGGAGCACATAGATATCAAAGTGATAATATTATTGGTACAAGGAGGCGAAGAATTCAAAATAACCAAGATTTAGCCAGAAGCTGACTATGGAACAGATCATGAAGTCCTCATGTGCAAGTTCCAAATCAAGCTAAAGTGGAAGAAGAAAGCCCAAAGTTTCCATTATATGATCTTGAACTTATACCCACCATTTTTAATGAAAACATCAGAAATTGCTTTGAATTTCTTTGTTTTCTTGGCAGCCTTGGCTTTGCTTGTTTTCTTGGCTATCTGAAGTATTTACAAGAGCACTCCAACACCAGTGGTCAAAAGTGTCAATCTACTTTCTTCTTTATTAAAGTCCAATTTTTGTTTCCATATAATCAATACAGGGAAAATCAAGGACACACCAAACATTGGAGCATCTTTTCCAAGACCTTCATTGCTTCCCTATCAAGTGGTGGTCTGTAACATATTTCTAGCCTGTGGATTCCTTTATTTGATCCTAAATGGCAGAAACTATCTATCAATTCAGTACTTTAACCCAGGGCTTTTCAACCAGTGGTACGGGTACCACCTGCGGTACATTGGCACGTGGCAGGTGGTACGCGACCATCCTAGAAAAGTGGTAACGGGAAGGGGAATGAGAGCACCGCCAGGCGGGCAGGCAGGTGTCTTGTCGGCTGTGCCTTGGGGGGCCACTTTTTTCAGTGCCATTGTAACTTCAAACAGTCACTAAGCAAACTGTTGTAAGTCGAGGACTACCTGTACTTTATCACTTTTTTCCTTTTTTTTGTCATCAAGTTTTTGACACCTTGCTAGGCAACTGGTGGTACTTGGATATTGCCATATCCTAAAAGTGGTACAAATGGTGAAAAGGTTGAAAAGCCCTGTTTTAACCATCAATTGTAATGCTAGTTGCTGTACTTGTCATTAGTTTGATCCTTTTCATATTTAATCTTGTCACATATTTTTCACTGTGTTCCTTGACTTAATGAACTTTCAGCCATCAGAGTAGAGTCATCCTTCTTCCTTCTCTCTTTGATCAGTTTCCAACCATTGTTTCTTGTCCTGCCCTCTGCTGCTTTGGTGAATAGCATGACCTCCTCTTCTTTGTGGCAGCCCCTCAAATACTGGAATACTGCTATCATGTCTCCCTTATTTCTTCTTTTCTTTAGACTAGCCAAACCCAACTTTGCTTCAGTCTTCACACAAAAAGAAACTACTGCCCATCATACCCCTCAAAAAAAAACCCACTGCAAAAGGCAAACTAGAAACAAAAATTAAAACAAGCAAGAAAATTGGTAAGAGAATACCTATCCAACCTTGACAAATATAAATCACCGGGACCCGACAGATTACATCCCAGAGTTCTGAAGGAGCTGGCAGATGTTATTTCAGAACCATTGCACCACATCTTTCATAAATCCTGGAGCACCGGGGAAGTACCTGAGGATTGGAAAAGGGCTGATATGGTTCCCATCTTCAAGAAAGGGAAATAATGGACCCAGGAAACTAAAGACCAATCAGTTTAACATCAATACCTGGGAAGATCCTAGAAAAGATAATTAAAAAACAGATCTGTGAACAACTAGAAACAAACAAAGTTATAACTAGTAGCCAGCATGGGTTTGTTAAAAACAGATCATGCCAAACCAATCTTATTTCATTCTTTGAGAAAGTGACTAAACTAGTAGATCAGAGAAACGCTGTGGACATACTTAGATTTCAATAAGGCATTTGATAAAGTAGATTACAACCTACTCCTTGGTAAGCTAGAAAAAGGTGGAATAGACAACATCACCACCAGATAGATCTGTAGCTGGCTGGCAAACCATGCTCAACGAGTAGTTCTCAATGGCACTACATCCACATGGAGAGAATTAAGCAGTGGGGTACCACAAGGTTCCGTCTTAGGCCCAGTACTCTTCAATATCTTCATCAATGACTTAGATGAGGGAATTGAAGGGGAACTCATCAAATTTGCAGATGACACCAAACTATCAGGAGTATCCAACATCCCAGAAGACAAACTCAGGATCCAAAAAGATCTTGACAAACTTGAACAATGGGCCCTATCCAACAAAATGAGTTTCAATGTGGAGAAAAGCAAAGTTTTACATTTAGGCAGGAAAAATCTAAGGTACAAGTATAGATTGGGCGAGACCTGATTTAAAAACAGTAACTGTGAAAGGGACCTGGAGTCTTAGTGGACGATCACTTGACTATGAGCCAGCAGTGTACAGCAGCCACCAAAAAAGCTAATACAATCCTGGGTTGTATAAACAGAGGCATAGAATCAAGATCATGTGAAGTATTAGTATCGCTTCATAAAACTCTAGTAAGACCACACCTGGAATACTGCAGCCAAGTTTGATCGCCATATCACAAAAAATATGTTGAGAGTTTGGAAAAAAATCAGCTTTATGTCTAGTTCCCTCCTCCACCTTTCATAGGTTTCATCCCACTAGGTTTCTGTAATGCCAACTATGTCATTCCCTCCCTCGTGTACTATTGCTTCTAGTTCATCCTGTTTGTTTCCCAAGCTTTGAGCATTTGTATATAAGCATTTAATACTTTTATGCCTGTCCGTGGGTATGTTTCCTGCATCTCCTGATTCTTGTTTGAATTTTTCTTTTTTCTCATCACTGCCTATCTCATTGTTTGATTTGTTTTCTTGGGATTTGTGATTGTTTTTGGGTTTTAGAGATTCTGAAGATTGGTCACCTTTCCCCCTCAATTTTAGTTTAAAGCCCTCATGGTGAGTTGGGCCAGTCTTTTTCTGAATACATTTTCCCCTGTTTTCGTGAGGTGCAGCCCATCCCTTGCCAAGAGTTCTTTGCGCAGGAAATGCAGTCAATGATCCAGGATACCAAAGTTTTCTTGGGGACACCAACCCTTTAGCCAATGGTTTATTTCTAGAATTCTTTTTCCCCTCAGTGGGTGTTGGCCTTTCGTTGGGCGTACTGATGAGAACACTATTTGTGCTCCTAGCTTCTTAACTTTATTGCCTAATTGTTTATAATCTCTCACAATTGTACTCAGGTTCTTTGTTGTGTCATTCATCCCAATGTGAAGGAGGAGGAAAGAGTAATAATCTGTAGGCCTAATTATTTTGGTTAGGTTCTCAGCCACATCTTTGATTTTTGCTCCAGGGA